CTGAGACACACACACACAGAGACACACAGAGACACACACAGAGACACAGAGGGACACACACACAGAGAGACAAAGGCGGCCCTGTGGCCTCCCTCAGCCCGCGGCCGCCATAACCCCTTGGGCCTTCACTCACAATGAACACGGAGACACACGGAGACACAGAGAGACACGCTGAGAGGGGGTGGTGGAGACAGGCGAGGGAGAGAGAGAGAAAGACAAAGGGGGCCGGGACATCCCGCAGAGAGAGACACGGAGACACGCAGAGAGACACACAGAGACACACCTGAGATACGCTGAGGCCTGTCGCTCTTTCGACGCCGCTTAACGCGAGACGCCATGGCGGAGGCCCTCACTGCTCTCTAGCTCCTCCCACTTTCCTCTCTAGCTCCTCCCACTTTCCTCTCTAGCTCCTCCCACTCTCCCCTCTAGCTCCTCCCACTCTCCCCTCTAGCTCCTCCCACTCTCCCCTCTAGCTACTCCCCTCTAGCTCCTCCCACTCCCCTCTAGCTCCTCCCACTCCCCTCTAGCTCCTCCCACTCTCCCCTCTAGCTCCTCCCACTCCCCTCTAGCTCCTCCACTCTCCTCTAGCTCCTCCCACTCTCCCCTCTAGCTCCTCCCACTCCCCTCTAGCTCCTCCCACTCTCCCCTCTAGCTCCTCCCACTCCCCTCTAGCTCCTCCCACTCTCCTCTAGCTCCTCCCACTCTCCCCTCTAGCTCCTCCCACTCCCCTCTAGCTCCTCCCACTCCCCTCTAGCTCCTCCCACTCCCCTCTAGCTCCTCCCACTCCCCTCTAGCTCCTCCCACTCCCCTCTAGCTCCTCCCACTCTCCCTCTTGCTCCTCCCTCTCTCCCCTCTAGCCCCTCCCACTCCCCCCTCTAGCTCCTCCCACTCCCCTCTAGCTCCTCCCACTCCCCATCTAGCTCCTCCCACTCCCCTCTAGCTCCTCCCACTCCCCTCTAGCTCCTCCCACTCCCCTCTAGCTCCTCCCACTCTCCCCTCTAGCTCCTCCCACTCCCCTCTAGCTCCTCCCACTTTCCTCTAGCTCCTCCCACTCTCCCCTCTAGCTCCTCCCACTCCCCTCTAGCTCCTCCCACTCCTCTCTAGCTCCTCCCACTCCCCTCTAGCTCCTCCCACTCCCCTCTAGCTCCTCCCACTCCCCTCTAGCTCCTCCCACTCTCCCCTCTAGCTCCTCCCACTCTCCCCTCTAGCTCCTCCCACTCTCCCCTCTAGCTCCTCCCACTCTCCCCTCTAGCTCCTCCCACTCTACCCTCTAGCTACTCCCACTCTCCCCTCTAGCTCCTCCCACTCCCCTCTAGCTCCTCCCACTCTCCCCTCTAGCTCCTCCCACTCCCCTCTAGCTCCTCCCACTCTCCCCTCTAGCTCCTCCCACTCCCTTCTAGCTCCTCCCACTCCCCCTCTAGCTCCTCCCACTCCCCTCTAGCTCCTCCCACTCCCCTCTAGCTCCTCCCACTCCCCTCTAGCTCCTCCCACTCCCCTCTAGCTCCTCCCACTCCCCCCTCTAGCTCCTCCCACTCCCCTCTAGCTCCTCCCACTCTCCCCTCTAGCTCCTCCCACTCTCCTCTAGCTCCTCCCACTCTCCCCTCTAGTTCCTCCCACTCTCCTCTAGCTCCTCCCACTCCCCTCTAGCTCCTCCCACTCTCCCCTCTAGCTCCTCCAACTCCCCTCTAGCTCCTCCCACTCTCCTCTAGCTCCTCCCACTCCTTTCTAGCTCCTCCCACTCCCCTCTAGCTCCTCCCACTCTCCTCTAGCTCCTCCCACTCCCCTCTAGCTCCTCCCACTCTCCCCTCTAGCTCCTCCCACTCTCCTCTAGCACCTCCCACTCCCCTCTAGCTCCTCCCACTCTCCTCTAGCACCTCCCACTCCCCTCTAGCTCCTCCCACTCCCCTCTAGCTCCTCCCACTCTCCCCTCTAGCTCCTCCCACTCCCCTCTAGCTCCTCCCACTCTCCTCTAGCTCCTCCCACTCCCCTCTAGCTCCTCCCACTCCCCTCTAGCACCTCCCACTCCCCTCTAGCTCCTCCCACTCCCCTCTAGCTCCTCCCACTCTCCCCTCTAGCTCCTCCCACTTTCCTCTAGCTCCTCCCACTTTCCTCTAGCTCCTCCCACTCCCCTCTAGCTCCTCCCACTCTCCTCTAGCTCCTCCCACTCTCTTCTAGCTCCTCCCACTCCCCTCTAGCTCCTCCCACTCTCCTCTAGCTCCTCCCACTCCCCTCTAGCTCCTCCCACTCTCCTCTAGCTCCTCCCACTCCCCTCTAGCTCCTCCCACTCCCCTCTAGCTCCTCCCACTCTCCTCTAGCTCCTCCCACTCTCCTCTAGCTCCTCCCACTCTCCCCTCTAGCTCCTCCCACTTTCCCCTCTAGCTCCTCCCACTCCCCTCTAGCTCCTCCCACTCTCCCCCCCCTCTCTCCCCCCCCCTCTCCCCCACCCCCCCTCACCACTGCACCATAGACTCACCACTGCACCATAGACTCACCACTGCACCATAGACTCACCACTGCACCATAGACTCACCACTGCACCATAGACTCACCACTGCACCATAGACTCACTACTGCACCATAGACTCACCACTGCACCATAGACTCACTACTGCACCATAGACTCACTACTGCACCATAGACTCACCACTACACCATAGACTCACCACTGCACCATAGACTCACTACTGCACCATAGACTCCCGCCCTGCACCATAGACTCACCAACTGCACCATAGACTCAACACTGCACCATAGACTCACACTGCACCATAGACTCAACACTGCACCATAGACTCAACACTGCACCATAGACTCACACTGCACCATAGACTCACACTGCACCATAGACTCACACTGCACCATAGACTCAACACTGCACCATAGACTCACACTGCACCATAGACTCAACACTGCACCATAGACTCAACACTGCCCATAGACTCACACTGCACCATAGACTCAACACTGCACCATAGACTCAACACTGCACCATAGACTCAACACTGCACCATAGACTCACACTGCACCGTAGACTCACACTGCACCATAGACTCAACACTGCACCATAGACTCACACTGCACCATAGACTCAACACTGCACCATAGACTCAACACTGCACCATAGACTCACACTGCACCCTAGACTCAACACTGCACCATAGACTCACACTGCACCATAGACTCAACACTGCACCATAGACTCACACTGCACCATAGACTCAACACTGCACCATAGACTCAACACTGCACCATAGACTCAACACTGCACCATAGACTCACACTGCACCATAGACTCACACTGCACCATAGACTCACACTGCACCATAGACTCAACACTGCACCATAGACTCAACACTGCACCATAGACTCACACTGCACCATAGACTCACACTGCACCATAGACTCAACACTGCACCATAGACTCAACTGCACCATAGACTCAACACTGCACCATAGACTCAACACTGCACCATAGACTCACACTGCACCATAGACTCAACACTGCACCATAGACTCACACTGCACCATAGACTCAACACTGCACCATAGACTCACACTGCACCATAGACTCAACACTGCACCATAGACTCACACTGCACCATAGACTCACACTGCACCATAGACTCACACTGCACCATAGACTCAACACTGCACCATAGACTCACACTGCACCATAGACTCAACACTGCACCATAGACTCAACACTGCACCATAGACTCAACACTGCACCATAGACTCAACACTGCACCATAGACTCAACACTGCACCATAGACTCACACTGCACCATAGACTCACACTGCACCATAGACTCAACACTGCACCATAGACTCACACTGCACCATAGACTCACACTGCACCATAGACTCACACTGCACCATAGACTCAACACTGCACCATAGACTCAACACTGCACCATAGACTCAACACTGCACCATAGACTCACACTGCACCATAGACTCACACTGCACCATAGACTCAACACTGCACCATAGACTCAACACTGCACCATAGACTCAACACTGCACCATAGACTCAACACTGCACCATAGACTCACACTGCACCATAGACTCACCTGCACCATAGACTCACACTACCATAGACTCACACTGCACCATAGACTCAACACTGCACCATAGACTCAACACTGCACCATAGACTCAGCACTGCACCATAGACTCACACTGCACCATAGACTCACACTGCACCATAGACTCACACTGCACCATAGACTCACACTGCACCATAGACTCACACTGCACCATAGACTCAACACTGCACCATAGACTCACACTGCCCATAGACTCAACACTGCACCATAGACTCAACACTGCACCATAGACTCACACTGCACCATAGACTCACACTGCACCATAGACTCACACTGCACCATAGACTCAACACTGCACCATAGACTCAACACTGCACCATAGACTCACCTGCACCATAGACTCAACACTGCACCATAGACTCACACTGCACCATAGACTCAACACTGCACCATAGACTCACACTGCACCATAGACTCAACACTGCACCATAGACTCAACACTGCACCATAGACTCACACTGCACCATAGACTCAACACTGCACCATAGACTCACACTGCACCATAGACTCACACTGCACCATAGACTCACACTGCACCATAGACTCACACTGCACCATAGACTCCACACTGCACCATAGACTCACACTGCACCATAGACTCAACACTGCACCATAGTACTGCACCATAGACTTCACTACTGCACCATAGGACTCACCAACTGCCCCATAGAGCCTCAAACACTGCACCATAGACTCAACACAGCACCATAGACGCAACACTGCACCATAGACTCACCACGTGCACCATAGAACCGCACCAACTGCACCATAGACTCAACACTGCACCATAGACTCACCACTGCACCATAGACTCAACACTGCACCATAGACTCACCACTGCACCATAGACTCAACACTGCCCGTAGGCTTTAAATCAAACCGAGACCGGGTAACTATAAACACCAACACTTTATTCACTGTGAAATCGACATCTTAACGTACACACACACACGGCACGTACACACAACACACACACGGGGACAAAGACAAAGGTCCCCCGTGCAGCCTTAACAGACCTTTGGGGCAAGTGCTGTCAGCGAGTAGCAGCAGCTGCAGCACCACGCCCGGCCGCCTTTGTCTCTCCCCCAGTGGCGATGTTTAACTACACGGTTCAGATAATCGTCACTGGGTGGTGTTGGTTGCCGTGAGCGGGAATCGAACCCGGGTCGCCGGGTTCGTAGCGCAGCGCTAACCGCTGCACCACCGCTCCCCAGACACACACGCACACACACGCACACGCACACACACAATAACACGCACACGCACACACACGCACATACACACACACACGCACACGCACACACACACGCGCACACGCACACACACAATAACACGCACACACACACACGCGCACACACACACACGCACACACACAATAACACGCACACACACGCGCACACACACACACACGCGCACACACACACACGCGCACACGCACATACACACACACGCACACACACACAATAACACGCACACACACACGCACACGCGCACACAGACACACACACACACGCACACACACACGCACACACGCGCACACACACACGCACACACACACACAACACGTACACAATAACAACACTTAGTGGCGGCGACGTCACCACGGCGCTTGCGCCAGGCTAGGTGCACCTGAAATGTGGAAAGGCTCTCTGCTGGCAGGAGGTCACGTGGCAGGCCCCAGGTGATATGGGTTGACTGCTGTGCCAGGCTAGGTGCATGAGGAGGTCACGGCACAGACCTAGCGGGTGCCATGGGTTGACTGCTGTGCCAGGCTAGGTGCATGAGAAGGTCACGGCACAGACCCAGGTGATGTGGGTTGACTGCCGTGCCAGGCTAGGTGCATGAGGAGGTCACGGCACAGACCCAGGTGATATGGGTTGCTCTGCCGTGCCAGGCTAGGTGCATGAGGTGGTCACGGCACAGACGCAGGTGATATGGGTTGACTGCTGTGCCAGGCTAGGTGCATGAGGAGGTCACGGGACAGACCCAGCGGGTGCCATGGGTTGACTGCCGTGCCAGGCTAGGTGCATGAGGTGGTCACGGGACAGACCCAGGTGATGTGGGTTGACTGCTGTGCCAGGCTAGGTGCATGAGGAGGTCACGGCACAGACCCAGGTGATGTGGGTTGCTCTGCCGTGCCAGGCTAGGTGCATGAGGAGGTCACGGCACAGACCCAGCAGGTGCCATGGGTTGACTGCTGTGCCAGGCTAGGTGCATGAGGAGGTCACGGGACAGACCCAGGTGATGTGGGTTGCTCTGCTGTGCCAGGCTAGGTGCATGAGGAGGTCACGGCACAGACCCAGGTGCAATGGGTTGACTGCCGTGCCAGGCTAGGTGCATGAGGTGGTCACGGCACAGACGCAGGTGATATGGGTTGACTGCTGTGCCAGGCTAGGTGCATGAGGAGGTCACGGGACAGACCCAGCGGGTGCCATGGGTTGACTGCTGTGCCAGGCTAGGTGCATGAGGAGGTCACGGCACAGACCCAGCGGGTGCCATGGGTTGACTGCTGTGCCAGGCTAGGTGCATGAGAAGGTCACGGCACAGACCCAGGTGCAATGGGTTGACTGCTGTGCTTGGGTAGGTGGGTGAGTGGATGAGTGAGTGGGTAGGTGCGTGAGTGAGTGGTTGAGTGAGTGGCTGAGTGAGTGAGTGGTTGAGTGAGTAGCTGAGTGAATGACTGGCTGGCTGAGTGAGTAGCTGAGTGAGTGAGTAGCTGAGTGAGTGAGTGAGTAGCTGAGTGAATGACTGAGTGAGTGGCTGAGTGAATGACTGAGTGAGTGTCTGAGTGAGTGGCTGCGTGAGTGGCTGGTTGAGTGAGTGGTTGAGTGAGTGAGTGAGTTGCTGAGTGAGTGAGTGAGTGGCTGGTTGAGTGAGTGAGTGGTTGAGTAAGTGGCTAAATGAGTGAGTGAGTGGTTGAGTGAGTGGCTGCGTGAGTAGCTGAGTGAGTGAGTGGTTGAGTGAATGGCTGAGTGAGTGAGTAGCTGAGTGAATGACTGAGTGAATGACTGAGTGAATGGCTGAGTGAGTGGCTGGCTGAGTGAGTGAGTGGCTGAGTGAGTGAGTGGCCGAGTGAGTGGTTGAGTGAGTGGCTGAGTGGTTGAGTGAGTGAGTGGTTGAGTGAGTGGCTGAGTGAGTGTGTAGCTGAGTGAATGACTGAGTGAATGGCTGAGTGAGTGAGTGGTTGGCTGAGTGAGTGAGTGGCTGAGTGAGTGAGTGTGTAGCTGAGTGAATGACTGAGTGAATGAGTGAGTGAGTGGCTGGCTGAGTGAGTGAGTGGCTGAGTGAGTGAGTAGCTGAGTGAGTGAGTGGCTGCGTGAGTGAGTGGCTGCGTGAGTGAGTGGCTGAGTGAGTGAGTGGCTGCGTGAGTGAGTGGCCGAGTGAGTGGTTGAGTGAGTGGCTGAGTGGTTGAGTGAGTGAGTGGTTGAATGAGTGGCTGAGTGAGTGTGTAGCTGAGTGAATGACTGAGTGAATGAGTGAGTGAGTGAATGAGTGAGTGAATGGCTGAGTGAGTGAGTGGCTGGCTGAGTGAGTGAGTGGCTGAGTGAGTGAGTAGCTGAGTGAGTGGCTGAGTGAGTGGCTGAGTGAGTGAATGAGTGAGTGAGTGAGTAGCTGAGTGAATGGCTGAGTGAGTCCCTGACAGCCACACGACTTCCTGCCACATCTTGGCTCCGTAACCACCATCACCACCATCACCGGATATCTCTGTAACCACCATCACCACCATCACCGGATATCTCTGTAACCACCACCACCACCACCCCTCCTCCCGCGTGACAGACGGACGGACGAAGCTACAAAGGGTCACAACTCTTCTGTTCCTCTTTCTTCACTGAACGTGGTGTGAACCCAGCGATCAGAGGTCAACTCGAATCTGAAAAACAGAGAGACTCATAGAACCACAGACTCGTCACACAGAGACCCATAGACTCATCACACAGAGACCCGTAGATTCATCGCACAGACCCATAGACTCATCACACAGAGACCCATAGACTCATCACACAGAGACCCATAGACTCATCACACAGAGACCCGTAGATTCATCGCACAGACCCATAGACTCATCACACAGAGACCCATAGACTCATCACACAGAGACCCACAGACTCATCACACAGAGAGCCACAGACTCATCACACAGAGACCCACAGACTCACCACACAGAGACTCACAGACTCACTCATAGAGACCCACAGACTCACCACACAGAGACCCACAGACTCACCACACAGAGACCCACAGACTCACCACACAGAGACCCACAGACTCAGAGACCCACAGACTCACCACACAGAGACCCACACACTCACCACACAGAGACCCACAGACTCATCACACAGAGATCCACAGACTCATCACAGACTCACCACAGACTCACCACACAGAGACCCACAGACTCACCACCACACAGAGACCCACAGACTCACCACACAGTGACCTCACCTCCTGATTGGTTGGCGCTCGACCTCTGACCCCGACGGCGAGCCTGCCCATTGGGCAGCCCTCACAGTGGCAGGCCGGGAGGGGTGCATGCTGGGAGCACGGCAGAGGGGCGGCAGCGGCACCTCTACCCAGCATGCCCGGCGGTGTCACGTGACCCTTGTGTAGGGAGTCTGGGAATGGGAGGGTCGGGGAAGGGTTCACGCTCAGCGGCATGCTGAGCTCAGCTGGTCAGCCACACCCAGGGGTCAAACCCACGACCTCCTGCGTACCAGGCGAGGTAGTCAACATCTCTCAGTGTCTGGGATTGAACCCACGACCTCCTGCGTACCAGGCGAGGTAGTTAACATCTGCTAGCCACAGTGGCGATGATGATGAAAGAGAGACACGCAAACTCCAAATATACAGCAGCAGGCATCGACAGGGTCAGGATCGAACCCACGACCTCCTGCGTACCAGGCAAGGTAGTCAACATCTCCTAGCCCTGTAGACCAGGCGAGGTAGTCAACATCTCCTAGCCACCGTGATGATGATGAGAGAGACGCAGACTCCAAATATACAGCAGCAGGCATCGTCAGGGTCTGGATCAAACCTACGACCTCCTGCGGACCTGGCGACGTAGTCAACATCTCCTAGCCCTGTAGACCAGGCGAGGTAGTCAACATCTCCTATCCCTGTAGACCAGGCGAGGTAGTCAACATCTCCTAGCCCTGTAGACCAGGCGAGGTAGTCAACATCTCCTAGCCACCGTGATGATGATGATGATGATGTTCGTGCCCTCCCCCCCCACCATCCCCCCCCCACCATCCCCCCCCACCATCCCCCCCCACCATCCACCCCCACCATCCCCCCCCACCACCCCTCCTACCATCCCCCCCACCATCCCCCCCCACATACCCCCCCACATCCCCCCCCACCACCCTCCCCCACCCCCCCCCCACCACCCCCCCACCATCCCCTCCACCATCCCCCCCACCATCCCCCCCACCATCCCCCCCACCATCCCCCCCACCATCCCCCCCACCATCCCCCCCACCATCCCCCCCACCATCCCCCCCCACATCCCCCCCCACATCCCCCCCCACCACCCTCCCCCACCCCCCCCCCCACCACCCCCCCCACCATCCCCTCCACCATCCCCCCCACCACCCCCCCACCATCCCCCCCCACCACCCCCCCCCACCACCCCCCCCACCCCCCCCCACCACCCCCCCCCCCCCCCACTCACCATCACAGGGGCCTGTAGGCAGGTCACAGCCGGTGGCAGGAGGTTCCGAGTGTTCCGTTGCGAGGCGCCAGCGGGCACCTCCTGCCCCCCCGGGGGGAGCTCCGTGGACACCCCAATCCCCCCCCACCCCCACGGCCCTCGCGGGGTCCTCGCAGCCACAGCGGCAGGGGTCCTCGCCGAGGCCGGTGCCGAGCGGGCGTCCGCGCGGCGCCCGATTGCCTGCGGCGGCCGTCCTGGGGGGAAATAAATAAAATAATTAGTTTTGAAAATTAATTTTAAAAAAAATTCTTGTCCGAATGTATTTGTACACACGTCCTATTTGAATATACGTAAATATGCATTTATTAAAATCTCAATACATTTAGAAATTGGTGGGACTTGGGACCTGTGACCTGTGACCTGTGACCTGTGACCTGTGACCTGGGACCTGTGACCTGTGACCTGGGACCTGGGAAGTGGGCCCTGGGCGTGCCCTTGGACCCCTGGGCCCTGGGACCTTGGAACCTTGGAACCTTGGACCCTGGGCCCTGGACCCTGGGACCTGGACCCTGGGACCTGGGCCCTGGACCCTGGGACCTGGACCCTGGACCCTGGGACCTGGGACCTGAGCCCTGGACCCTGGGACCTGGGCCCTGGACCCTGGGACCTGGGCCCTGGACCCTGGGACCTGAGCCCTGGACCCTGGGACCTGAGCCCTGGACCCTGGGACCTGGGCCCTGGACCCTGGGACCTGGGCCCTGGACCCTGGGACCTGGACCCTGGACCCTGGGACCTGGGCCCTGGACCCTGGGACCTGGGCCCTGGACCCTGGGACCTGGGACCTGGGCCCTGGACCCTGGGACCTGGGCCCTGGACCCTGGACCCTGGGACCTGGGACCTGGGCCCTGGACCCTGGGACCTGGGACCTGGGCCCTGGACCCTGGGACCTGGGACCTGGGGCCTGGACCCTGGGGCCCTGGCCCTGTGGCCCTGGCCGCTGGGCCTCACTCACCTGCCCAGGAGGTGGAGAGGGTTGTGGTTGTGGTCGGGGCCTCCGTGGTGCAGGCAGCAGTGGGCACAGGGGGCGGCCGTGGGGAGGTCCGGCTGCAGCGAGCGCAGGCTCGAGGGCCCATCGCACACGGCCACTGATAACACGGAGACACAGACACACAGAGACACACAGTGATATACACAGAGATACACACAGAGATACAGACACACAGAGATACACACAGAGATACACACAGAGATACACACAGAGATACACACAGAGAGATACACAGATACACACAGAGATACACACAGAGATACACAGATACAGAGATACACACAGAGATACACACAGAGATACAGACACACAGAGATACACAGATACAGAGATACACACAGAGATACACACAGAGATACACACAGAGATACACAGATACAGAGATACACACAGAGATACACACAGAGATACACACAGAGAGATACACAGATACACACAGATACACACAGAGATACACACAGAGATACACACAGAGATACACAGATACAGAGATACACACAGAGATACACAGTGAGATACACACAGAGATACACACACACAGAGACACACACACACAGAGACACACACGCACACAGACACACACACGCAGAGAGATACACACACACATAGAGATACATACACAACACAACACAACAACTGCCATTCGCCACTAAGTGGCGGTGACGTCACCACGATGCTTGTGCCAGGCCAAGTGCACCTTGAGGCCACGTGAAGTGTCGAACGCCCGCTGGCAGGAGGTCACGGGGCAGACCCAGGTGCCACGGGTCGACTGACCGAGATGACCGAGATGACTGGCTGATGCACCACCTGTGCCCCCTACTGTACCAACTTGCTGTGCTTTAGCCACCCGGCGCTCCGCTCGTTGTTGTGAGCGTCGCTCCTCCGCCCTCCGTTGTTGTTGGAGGGCGACTGCCTCCAACTGCCCAGTAGCGTCCTTCACAAGCCTCCTCCACTGAGGCCGATCTTGACACCGCTGGTACCGGTCATCGGCAAGTCCACTCAGCTCCACGTCCTCCTGTACCACATCACTCCATCTCTTCTCTAGCCCGTGCCGCGCCCGTTTAGCCCCCTCGATCCGGCCGAACAAAAGCTGTTTAGGCATGCGGTGGCTGGGCATGCGGGCTACATGACCCAGCCAACGCAGCCTTGCCTGCCGGAGGAGCTCACCGATGGGACGTTGCCCAGATCTTTCAAGGATTTGTGAGCTCCTCACACAATCCAGCCTGCTGGTTAAACCCAGGATGGATCGTAGGCAGGCCAGCCTAAATGTTTCTAACCGGCGAAGATGCTCCATTAGGGGGGGGGGGGTCCACGTTTCGCAAACGTAGAGAAGGGAGGGAATGACATGAAGTACACATAAACACGTGTACACACACACAAGCGTACACACACACACGTGTACAAACACACACACACACGTGTACACACACACGTGCACACAACAACAACAACCGCCATTCGCCACTAAGTGGCGGTGACGTCACCACGACGCTTGTGCCAGGCCGTGTGCACCTTGAGGCTGCCACGTGAAGTGTCGTGCGCACACACGCGTACACACGCGCGCACGCGTACACACACACGCGTACACACACGCGTACACACACACACGCGTACACACACACACGCGTACACACACACGCGCACACACACATGCGTACACACACACACACGTGTACACACACACGTACCCACGCACACACGTGTACACACACACACGTGTACACACACACACGTGTACACACACACACGTGTACACACACACACGTGTACACACACACACGTGTACACACACACGTGTACACACACACACACGTGTACACACACACGTGTACACACACACGTGTACACACACGTGTACACACACGTGTACACACACACGTACCCGCGCACGCACGCGCCGTGTGCGGAGGTTTGAGAGGCAACGATTCGTCCCCGTGGGGGTCTCCGCTCCTCCCGGGGGGGGGGGGGGGTCACCCCCCCCCTCTCCGCGGGGGTCACCTCCCGGGGTCAAGGCACGAGCCTCCCCCCCCTCCTCCTCACCCCCCACGTGGTCATCAGCCCCCACCCCCTGGGCCTCCAGTGCACCTGGAGGTGAAAACCACGGTTACCACGGTTACCACGGTTACCATGGTTACCAGACAAAGTTCCCCCGTGTAGCCTCTAACAGACTGCAGGGGCAAGTGCTGTTAAGTAGCAGCGCCTCCACACAGACAAAGCTCCCCCGTGTAGCCTCTAACAGACTGCAGGGGCAAGTGCCGTTAAGTAGCAGCGCCTATACACAGACAAAGCTCCCCCGTGTAGCCTCTAGCAGACTGCAGGGGCAAGTGCCGCTAAGTGGCAGCGCCTATACACAGACAAAGCTCCCCCGTGTAGCCTCTAGCAGACTGCAGGGGCAAGTGCCGTCAGCAGCGAGTAGCAGCAGCACCTATACACAGACAAAGCTCCCCCGTGTAGCCTCTAGCAGGCTGCAGGGGCAAGTGCCGTCAGTAGCGAGTAGCAGCAGCACCTCCACACAGACAAAGCTCCCCCGTGTAGCCTCTAGCAGGCTGCAGGGGCAAGTGCTGTTAGCGAGTAGCAGCAGCACCTCCACACAGACAAAGCTCCCCCGTGTAGCCTCTAGCAGGCTGCAGGGGCAAGTGCTGTTAGCGAGTAGCAGCAGCACCTATACACAGACAAAGCTCCCCCGTGTAGCCTCTAGCAGACTGCAGGGGCAAGTGCTGTTAGTAGCGCGAAGCATCAGCGGCAGATTGGAGTGACGGCAGTGACTGCCCCACCCCTCCCCAAGCTCCCGGCGTGTCCCGTCCGCCTGCGTGTCTCCGCACCGTCGCTCAGCTGCTGCTGCTGCTGCTGCTGCTGCTGCAGCTTCTGCGCCAGGTGGTGCTTCCAGTAGACGAGGCAGAAGGCGGAGACGGCCACCAGGACGGTGGCGAGGACTCCGCACACGACGCCGGTGACGGCGCGCTCCTCGGACAGCGAGTCGCCGCGGGAGACACGCACCACGGAGAGACGCTCGCCGCCTGGGGGGGGTGGGGGGGGTGGGGGGGGGTGAGACACGGGGGGGGGGGAGATGGGGATTGAGACGGGAGGGGAGACACGGGGGGAGACACGGTGGGGGACACGGTGGGAGAGACACGGGGGGAGACGCGGGGGGAGACGCGGGGGGGGGACACGGGGGGGGACACGGTGGGAGAGACACGGGGGGAGACGCGGGGGGGGGACACGGTGGGGGACACGGTGGGGGGACACGGTGGGAGAGACACGGGGGGAGACGCGGGGGGGGGGACACGGTGGGGGGACACGGTGGGGGGACACGGTGGGGGGACACGGTGGGAGAGACACGGGGGGAGACACGGGGGAGACACGGGGGGGAGACGCGGGGGGGGACACGGTGGGGGACACGGTGGGAGAGACACGGGGGGAGACACGGGGGGGAGAACGCGGGGGGAGACGCGGTGGGGGGGACACGGTGGAGAGACACGGGGGGAGACACGGGGGGAGACGCGGGGAAGGAGACGCGGTGGGGGGACACGGTGGGAGAGACACCGGGGGAACACGGGGGA